AGGACACGACTAGAAATCAGTGGTTAAGTTGTATTTACAACACTGTTCCAGAACAGTTCAACCCAAATATTAATTTGTGTGCAGCACATTTTATGGAGGACTGTTTCCTGATGCTGGTAGAGTAGACTACAATGCCGGCTGTTCTGACTCACAGACTGCAAGTACGTTTTCATTTAAAGGATTTGCCACCGATGATTCAAACGCGAGTTTTGAACAGTGTAGAATAGCGCTTGTTTGTCATTTCTCCAAATCACACATGCAGACATGGTTTTATGTTTACACTGCGCGATGCAACGCAACGCGTAAAAAGACAGTATAAGTCATAGTTTTTGTTACTTTCACTGTTCATTGTTTTGCTCTATGTACATCATCTTTAATTTAATAGCATTAGAGCTGCTCCATTGCAGCGGCTCAGTACTGTAATCACGCGCTTTGCTGTAATAATGCAGGGAACCACTTGTTATAAATCTTAACTGTGATATTTTCAGAAATAGAAGTTGCATTTTTTCATCTGAAACGTGCTGCAATTTATTTTCCAAAGCAATTCATATAATGCAGAAACACTCAAGCAAGCAAAACACGTGCAACGCGCATACATATTTGTACTGGTGCAGAATGAGAGGAGTGCATACATATACTTCGTAGTAGACATCCTTAACTCCTTTCTGCTGTCTGTTGTTGGTGTTTCTTTGTTTGAATATGGCGCTTATCACATGCTGTGTGGTATCGGCGTTTGGTATCGGGGCATTTTAACGAGTATGTGTACGAGTACAGGAGACCACTATCGGGCCCGGTGCATCCCTAATGCACAAAATAATGTTCTTTTTAGCAACATCATATGGCCTCTTTAATACAAACGAATGTCTCATGAAATCGATCAGTCAAGAGTTTAAAAAAACCTCAATAAGCCTTTGTTTTATTGCTGTTTTTTGTGTTAAATGTGAAGAATGACAGGTTGGATGCCACAGGCTTTTTTTGGTGGAGTATAGATGGAATTTTCACATTAACTTTATGCAATATGTATAACCTGAGTTTATCATCGTATTTTTGACTTTATTCTTAAAACATTATGACGTTAATCTTTTTTTATGAACTAGTGTTTTCCGAGTCAGTGTCACAAAGAAGTTGAGATCCTGACCATCTCTTCATTGGACGCCTTTATAGAGAAATGCATCTTTACGGATTAGATAATGAAAGAGTTCTCAAAGTTTTCTTGTTCTCAATTTGCATTATTTTGTTTTAAAGTAGTAATTTAAAGCATTCTATAGATTTATTTATCATGTCTGTGAGGCAAATATTCCCTGAGTTTTGGTTCATTTTTGTGAAGCGCTCGATATGGCTGAAAGCACATCCTGTTTGTTTTCTTTATTTTAAAAACCAACAACGTTTTGTTGATATTGTGAGTGCACACAAATAAAAGTAGACCATTTGCAGTTCCGAATGATGTATTACCCTTACCTTTATGAGCAAAAATGACGGCGTATTTTAAGTTTCCACTATTATTATAAAAATATATAAATAAATGCGCTGGCGCCTCCATGTCCTGCAAAGTGCGCTTCAGTTTCCACGCTCCGCACAAATGATTGGATATGCGCCTAATAGCGCACATTTATCCATGTTACATTTTTAAATGAATATTGTGAAATGCATGAAGTGTTTTATATAGCTTTTATTTTAAGTCGTGTTGATTTGAGATGGCTAAATTGATCAAACATATGCTCAACTTACTGTCTGCCGCTGGCCGCTTGATATAAATAAATGCGCTGGCGCCTCCATGTCCTGCAAAGTGCGCTTCAGTTTCCACACTCCGCACAAATGATTGGATATGCGCCTAATAGCGCACATTTATCCATGTTACATTTTTAAATGAATATTGTGAAATGCATGAAGTGTTTTATATAGCTTTTATTTTAAGTCGTGTTGATTTGAGATGGCTAAATTGATCAAACATATGCTCAACTTACTGTCTGCCGCTGGCCGCTTGGTCTTTACTTTAAAAAACAAAAACTTGAATTTAGCAAACATAAAATGTTCCAAACATATTTCTAAATTAACTTAAAGAAACGAAAAGAAATAACCACTTTGCCATTAAAAATTGAAACTGAACTATTTTATTGGCTGCAACAGGCAGCTATAAATGGGAAAGAGAGAGAGAGAAAACTCGGGCCAGTAATTCTGATAAGCTGTTGGACAAGGGCTGGGTGGTGCCCGTGCAGGGCTCTATTCGTTCCCTCGTTTCATTTAAAAGTTACCCCTCGGCTCGGCGGGCCCCCAATCTGCCCGGGCCCATATGCACCTGCATACCCAGACGCTACGCCCCTGTATCTGAGTGAATGTTTGTGAGAAGTCATTGGAGTACTAATGCATTAATGAAGTTATATATGTATATACATTATAAATTTTTACAGGAGTGCTTATGTGTGTTTCTCTCACCACAACTCCAAACTGTTCAGACTCAGCCAGCTCCTCATACTCGTCTTTCATCTCTAATAATGTGTTCAGTTGTTCCTGCTCCGGCAGCAGCTTCAGCAAACTCTGAAAAACACACAGCAGCTGTTTAGCACAAGGTAATTACTCAGGAAAAGATGATGCCGGTTTCACTGTTTTTGTCCACCAAACGTTTTGGTTTGCCCACCAAGACTTTACGAATACAGTTTGGCAATTGCATAAGAGACATTTGCATTTCTGAGGTAAAACACAGTATTCAACGGTATTTTAGGGTGGGGCTTGATTTATATAATGGGGAATTGATTGGATGACATGCATTATAACAAGTTAGGCCAGATTGCTTTCCACTAAAAAAAAATCTACTTTCCTACCTGCACCATGTTTTCAGTGAGAACTTTCTCGTTGACCTCCAGGATGACATTCTTCATCTCTTCATAAGGCATCCTGTTTGAACCCAAGAATATAGCTGCAACACACACACACACACACACACACAGAATTCTGAGTAAACAACACTATAAATTACGGTGTTAAACTAGTGAGATATTTCACATCTGAATGAAGATTCATGCTCAGCTGTTACTCACAGAGATTCTGGGATGTTTTGGAGTCGAGCACCTTCAGCTCCTTCACCTTCTTCTTCTGAGTGTTTTTCTTATCCTCAGATGCCTCTTGATCCTTCTTACCTAGAAAAAGACAGAAAGAATGAGAGATGGTAAATACCCTTGAGTATTTGAGATATCAGCCTCGGGTTAAAAAATGACCTGGAAATGATGTTTCTTGAAGGCTGTACAGATCTCTCTCCCATATACACCCACACACAGTATTTCACTTCTTCATAGAGACTAAATGAGTTGCTATGACACATCAAGAATAGTAACATCGGTGTCCAGTGGTTTGATTTGCTATACTTGATCTAGAAGTACTTTAAACATCAGTTTCAAACTGTTTCATAATTTTCATACATTCAGTTTATTGAGTAAATAAAAAATTTTTAGAGATTAGATTTATTTGTACTTTTAAAAATGCATGTGTCACACCATAGTGGTGTTATTTTAGAATTATTTATATCCTATTATTATTACATTTAATATATTTGATCACATTTCATTTAAGTTTATTTTAATTTTAGTTTTAACAATTTTATGTTCTATTTAGCTATAATTTGATATATTTATACAGTTTTAGTAATTTAGCCCTTTTTATTTTTGCTTTTTAATATTTCTATTTAGCTTGAGTTTTAGTACTAAAAGTAAACTTATTTGAGTTAGTTGCTAGGGTGACATTTCTAATGTTAGATTTTTTACTCATTCATATTTAATTTTATTCCAGCATTATTTTAATTACAGAATATGATTTTTAATAGTTAGATAATAATAAAATATATTTATATTTTCTATTTTTTTTCTATTTGTTTCTATTTTTACTTTTTTATTTCTTATTTTCTTTATTTTTTATTTAATAATTATACTTCATTAATCAAATTTCATTGCAGTCCTATTTCTATGACAGAAAACTATTTTTAATAGTTACAATATCAACACTACATCAAAGTACTATTTAAGTGAAATACAAAAAAAAACTTACTTATTTTTAACATTGTAAATAATTTTTTAAATTTTTATTAGGTTGTTTCATTAAGCTTTAATAAATTATTACCATTTTAGTTTAAATTATTTTATTATTTAGTACTTCAACAAACTAATTTCACTTATTTGCTAAGACAACATTTCTAATTTCATTTTTTTTATTTAATATTTATTTTATTCCAGTTTTTTCTCTTTATTCTATTTTGTTAGAATAAAGTGAATTGAAAAAAATAAATGATGTTACCTTTAAAAGGTCGTAAACACATTATTTGTACTGTAATTTATAGTTGTAAAAATTAGTTCGTAATTCAGAATTACAAAGAAAACAGACTTGACAACATCAAAAAAGGAAATATCTATTTCATCATTTTTAATACATTTTAAATTGATTCATAATACTTCTTTAAAAAACTCAATTGTTATTTTCAGATTTTATGCATTTTGAATACTTTATTAGAAATCCCATTTATGTAAAGCACTTTGAATTATTGTATATGAAATGCGTTTCTGTATATCAATAAATGTGCCTTTCCTTACTATGCATGATTCTTACTAAAAGAAACAAACTTAAATTATAAACATCTTTTGAGGAAAAATAAAAAAGAAAGTGAATACTAGATAGATAGTTTTGCTTATCTATGGCACATTATGGCCTGAAATCTCAGTCAGTGGGTCAGTGTGTGATTGATTCTGCGCTCAGCCAGAGAACACACACACACACACACACTATATCGCCTCTGCTACTCATTGCCTGTGATTCATAAGATGGGATCTGTGTTCAAAATGGCTGCTGGTCTTTCTCGCTCTCTCTTACACACACACACACACACACACACACACACACACACACACACACACACACACACACACACACACACACACAAAAGAGATACCAAAACTCATTTATGAGCCAATGGTGCCTCTGCACGTCACAATGAGAACTGCAGCACAACTACAGCACATCTGTGTTACATTACCTTTACATTTAAGAGTGCGTGTGTGAGATTGCACAATCAGGAACTATCAAACACAGGCTCTTTAATGTTATTGTTTCTGGATTGTGTTGTAAAACCCTTGCTGTTTTTTGTATTGCCTGAGGTCTATTCATCCATTCAGGCTTTTATCTTCCTCTCATGGAATCCAGTCTCAGTACACAGCTGCTTGTACACAAAAGAGCTCCAACACACACCTTCAATTCAGGACATATCATTTATCATCATTGCTTTTTTTTCTCCATAAAGACAAATATGACTACAGACAAAACTAAAACATACAAGAGAACTTTTAGCACTTAAACACACACGTAAAATATACAGTATTATATATTATACATATGGTAACATATCTTAATATGCTGTATTATATTGTATATTATACGTGTGTATACTCACCAAATGACAAAATACCGCAAATGTTTTTAAAGGGAGGATTAGTTGCATTCAGCTCGCTTCTTGGGACAAGCTATAAATACTTTGAACCATTAACACACACACACACACACGTCTGGTTTGCTATCATTGTGGGGACATTCCATAGGCGTAATGGTTTTTATACTGTACAGACCGTATATTCTACTGCCCTACACCAACCCTACCCCTAAACCTACCCCTCACAGGAAACTTTGTGCATTTTTAGATTTACAAAAAAAATCATTGTGTGATTTATTAGCTTGTTTACCCGTGGGGACCTCAATTTAGTGAGTTTGTGTGTATTCAGGTTTAAGTCCCCACCAGAATAGAAAAACAGGCACACACACACACACACACACACACACACACACACACTTATGTTTATTTCTGTAAGTGTCCAGCTGTTTTTCCACTTCTGTGTCCTGTCTCTTTGTCTGTCTTACATGAAAATCATTGTGTTTCTGCGTATATTAGTTTAGCTTGAACCACAGCCATCATGTCTGCTCTTTCTGGAACTCCTGATCTCACTTTAAACACACACACACACACACCCGCTCTTCTTTTCCATACAAGGCAAGAGTTTATGCGAGTGAAAGGTCACAGCGAGAGAGACAGACAGACACGTCCAGCATGTTAAAGGGAATGCGAGTGAACTCCAGCTCATCAGCAAACCACACACAAGCTCAATGCAACCCACTCGCACAGAGAGAAACTTTGTTCTCTCATCTGGCTCTCTTTCATTAGAGAGTATTTTTAGTTTAAAGTGTATTGATGACAGCCTCCTTTGTTCTGTGTAAGTTTGTGCTGCAGTGTGTTAGTTTGTCCACTAGAGGCGCTGGCGCGCCTCTAGTGGACAAACTAACACACTGCAGCACAAACTTACACAACTTATTTCAAAACACTAAACTTTACCTTAGAGAGTTTGCTTTTGAAATCTGTAGTAAAGTTTATGCTAAACATTCCACTAGAGCTTGAAAGACATATAGTCTAGGGAACAGACAGTGTTGCAGTGTTGATGTAACTTGAATGTGTCTGTCTTGGTGTAATTTCTTATATTTTACTGAAGCTTTTCAGATATGGGGGAAATAAAAACCCTCTCCTTTGTGGACTTATTGTCCTGTAGCAACTATTGGAGAATCTGTTACTTTTAAAATGCAAACTTTGCTCTATTCCAACACTCCGAGAATCTGAAGTGCTTTATTACACATTTTTCAACACACGCAAGCACATTTACACACAAAGTCTTCAAGGAAAGAATGTTTCTCCTCTTGAGAGAAAGGGAATGTACTTGTCAGCAAGTACACACACACTCCATAATTCAGTAATCTAATAGAAACCGAACTCGCTGCCTGCAGGAATGCAGGGAGTTTGACACAAAGAAAGAATGAGAAGAAAGAGGGACAGATGCTGGAGAGAGACAGAAAGAGAGCAGGTGGTCGTTGTTGGGGGCTTTAAATGTAAAACACAGCAGCAGCTGATGAGGGATGCCGTCCAATTTAAACATTAAATGTCCATGATTGTGTGTGTGTGTGTGTGTTTCTGGGAGTTTCCAGGGCTCTGGTTGCCGAGGGTAACCTCGAGCTGAAAGGGGCCCTTCATCCTGTTTTTGTGTGGAAAGGAAGGAATGAGAGCGGAGAGAATGAGGGGGAGAGGAGGGGTGACTCAGTGCCAGATGGCAGGGTGTGGTGTGAGGGGGGCGGGGTGGACAGACAGGAAATGGGAGGGTCAGACACAGGGGGACGGACTGTGGGCGGGGTTTCAAGTGTGCTCACTTGCGCACCCCTGGTGCATGAACAGTGCAACAGCAGTGTAAAAAATAATAAAGAGATATTTAGTAGATAACGCATAAAATAACAACCAAAAAGTGCAAAAGTCACAAAAAGAGATAATTAAAAAAATTCAGTTGCCTTGAATGTGTCCAATGGATTCTGAATATAATATAATAGTGAATCAGATACTTTTCTGTTTATTTAAAACTAAATGTAAATTACAATTAATGAAAAAAAAAAAAAGTTAAGAATTTGTGAATGTCATTGTCTTATAAAGACAAAAACAAAAAGAAGGTAGACAACATTTACAAAAATATTTAATAGCTTCATTTAAACGGTACCATGTTTTATGTACCCTGGTATTTATGGTCATTTTTATAGACCATGTAAAATACTAATAGATAGATAGCATGTAAGATGTTAATAAATAGATATAGAAAAAAGGTTTACAAATATAACAAGGGTAAAATAAGTATTAAGAGATTAATATCCTGAGATAGAAACATGTTTAAATAAGTAAATTATATTAAACAAAATGCCAAAACCAGACTCAATTGTCAGTTAACTATGCTCGTCTTGTACAGTTACACACACAAATAGTGAAAATAATTTGTTTTAATGATATTTAAAAAAAAATATTAACAAGAATATATTTATGGTATAATTGTATTAAAATAATTATATTTAAATATTTAATTAAATACAACACTAACTGTCAGTCAATTGTCAGTTATATAGTTCATCTTGTACAGTTACAGGTAAAAAGAGAACATAATTTGTTCTAAGGACAGTTTAAAATAAGTAGGTTTTATATTTAATGTTCATTGCATTTATTTTTTTTTTTTTATATTTTATTTTATTTTTTCCAAATCAACATTTCACATGAAAATGATATGGTGTATAAAGGAAAAGCATACAT